GTTTTGAATGCCAGTCCACCTCTTTTAGCCCTAATATTCCAATTCCATAAAGAACGTGCTTTACATAATCAAGTTATGTTGCCTTTTGCTTCTAACACGTACTAAGACAGGAAAAGCTCTGGATGTCCGTTTTGTCGCAGTGAGAACCTGCATCAGCACGAAAGTCACGAAATGCTTGTGGGATTCTGAAATACCATTACCATTATGCGAAGCATTAAACTTTGCCACTACTTGGTAGCTGTAGCACCGTTAGCCACGGCAAAGTTATCAGCAATTAAACACATCCAAGGAGATAGGGATAGCCCCAAAACCTGACTTCATTTACTAAGCAGCTAATCCATTATCTTACTTTACGCTGGTGTGATGATCAAATATAAGTTAAAGTACTATGGAGATTTTTAATAGTCTGCCGATATTCATGACAGATGAAAAATGAAAGAAACGCACAAGTGATTTTTATATGTAGTCACTAAATACTGAAATTGGCAGAATGAGTTCCGTGCCAAGCAGTAAATATCATTTGGAAACACCTAATGTCCTGAATGCCAGAAAGCTATTCGCAGTAATTGGTACTGAAAGTGAGTAATCAAATTGCAGCTAGTTAGCAGGCCACTACAATTACTTTGAGAGATGTTTTCTACTTGAATATATTATGAGTGTAAAGTAGCAACAGGTTTTCAGGCAGTTCCAGAATATGGAAATTCGCAAGCGCGGTGCTCGAAAGAAAATCACTCGAAATGAAAATTTGGCACAGTTCTAAGTTTCGAGCTAGGTTGCCAACAGAGATCCGGTTAAAGGCAGCAGGCGAACGACCAAAAGTCGGAAGCAATTCAATGGAACTTGCAAACGCTACAAATTCTTTATTTGCACAGTCCTGCGGAGAGACCAACACAATAGCGCCCACGGCACACAACAGGACAGAGCACAGCACGACTGAAACGACTGTTTAGGAACGCTCAATAATGCCATGCAACATGACTGAAATACATAAACCAAAAAACGATTAATGGCAGGCCACCTAATGACCGGCTTAAAAACTAACACAAAGTTGACATCCATCAATGAACTCCTAACAACAAAAGCCCCATCTTGCATGTACACAAACGCCCAAAGCCTTCTAAGCAAGTTGGCCGAACTTAGAGAAATCCATGCCTCACAACCGCGGGACCTCACCATGATTACAGAGACCTGGTTAAATCCTGAGATAACCGATTCTGAGATCAATTTACCCGGTATTTAGCTGCGTCGGACCGATAGAAGCGGAAGGGGTGGCGGTGTGATTCTTTACCATAATACAAACCTCCGATGTGGAGTTATCGATCACCCGGAAATCAGAGCTCCCGATTCGCTTTGGTGCCGCCTATGGTTGCGAAACAAGGACACATGTCTACTAACCGTGATTTATCGCCCACCAAACTCAACTTCGGAAATGGACTCCAAACTGAACCACGTTTTTCAGTTTGCTTTGAACAAGTCCTACACCCACATTCTTATCGCGGGAGACTTTAACGTGCATGACATAGAAACGCCGGCAACCATCGGTATGCAGTTTAAAGCCTGCTTGCAAGAGCTTATTGCTAGCCACCCACTTTACAACCACGTAACCTCTCCCACCAGATTTCGAACTGCTAATAAACCCTCGATACTGGGTCTTGTGCTAACTAACGAAAAACTCATTGTTGATGGGATAGTTACAAGCACACCCATGGGTCGTAGTGATCATGTTACTCTACTCTTTTACTAAATATGTTATGCGGAGTACCCTGAAAAGGAGGATGAGTGCATACTGTCACGCACTACAATGTATTATCTAAGCTAGTTAAGGATACATCTTGGACTTTCTTAACCGCACGCCCCCCTGATGTTGCCTGGGAAACATTTACAAGGACATTTAACACACTGGTTGCGCACGCATGGGAACAGAAGTCTTTCCAACCTCAAAACAAGCATAAGTCATTTTTCGTGAGCAGAACACGTATATGTATGTCCCAAGGGGATTTGGCATAGCGAGACCACCAGGACTGCTTGAATACCGAAACCTGGATTGCATACGTGACACATCGTAACTTCTGTGTGAAACTGATCCGCGCAGACAAGGTCACGCATCAGCAGAAGTTAATGAAGCGATTCTGCACTAACCGCAAACTCCTGTACAGGCACGTTAACGGTCTTCGAAAGGTGAAGCGGGGGGTTCCAGCGCTAGCCACGGCTGATGGGTGCACGCGATCAGCAATGGAAGCAGCTGATTTCCTACGGCTTCATTACTCCCCCCCTTTCCAGCAGGTAACGAGCCCAAACATTCTCCTTCATTTCTACTACTCCACCATCTGGTTTCGAACACATCGCCTTCACTACGAAAGCTGTGTTGAAGAGGTTGTTATCCTTCCGTATCCATAGTTCTCCCGAGCAGCTGACAACATCCGACCAAAGGCTCTGCAGGCGGTTGCTAGGGATCTAGCAGAACCACTGGCTGTATTCTATCAGCGATGTCTAAACCAGAACCGTATTCCACCTGTATGGAAGCGAGGGCTCATCACTCCTATCCATAAAGGAGGTAGCCGCACTGATCCTGCCAACTACCGTCCAATAACACTACTTCCCGTACTATCCAAAGTGATGGAATCAATCATCGCAGATGCGCTGATGCAATACCTGGAAAGCCACAATTTAATAGCCCCAGAGCAACATGGCTTTCGTCAAAAGCATTCGTGTAATACTAACCTATTAATTGCACGTAATAGCTGGACTGAAGCTGTTGATGATGGAGTAGGAGTCGATGTCATCTACCTGGACTTTTCAAAAGCGTTTGATCGCTTAGACCATCGAATTCTCCTTCAGAAGCTTCGGAATTACGGCATTGGCGACCCAATCCTGAGTTGGATTGGCAATTTTCTACAAGAACGACGGCTAGTGGTGAGAGTCCGAGAATCATTGTCTGATGCAATCGATGTGGCGTGTGGAGTACCACAAGGCTCGGTTCTTGGACCTCGTCTATTCTTGGTGTTCATTAACGATTTGGCGAGATCAATTGCTTCCGATTTCCTATTTTTCGCTGATGATATCAAGATATGGCGAAGGATCAGAGGACCGGACGACCATGAACGGCTCCAGTGCGATCTTAACACAGTGTCGAACTGGTCAGTTCAAAACGCCCTACCATTCAACGTAGACAAATGTCGCGTTGTACAATTACGCCATAGACATAACTACACCTATTTACTTGGGACAAACGGATTGCAGAATAGCTCCCAGGAACGTGACCTTGGTGTGATCGTACAGAGCGACCTCAACTGTTCAAAACAGGCTGAGGTAGCTGCGAAAAGAGGCAACCAGCACGTCGGCATGCTGCGAAGGGCATTCGGGAGATTTGACCCATCAATCTTCCCAATGATGCACAATTCCTACGTGCGCCCGCATGTTGAATACGCTATCCAAGCTTGGCAACCTTGGTTGAAGCGCGACCTAGAAGCGATAGAGGCACCACAACGAAGAGCAACAAAGAATGTAAAGGGCCTGCGCTATCACTCTTACCACCGAAGGCTGAAGTTGCTGGGAATTTTCAGCGGACGCTATCGAAGGCTGCGCGGCGATCTCATATTAGCGTATCAGATACTGAGTGACCCCAACCACGTATGCCGCCATTTGCTGAAACTTAGCCACAACACGCAGCTCAGGGTAACTGCTTAAAATTGAAGGAACAATATAGCCGTCTAGAGTGTCGACGGAATTACTTTTCCCTTCGGGTTTGCCAACCCTGGAACGCACTCCCAGACTCAGTTGTATCCTCTCCTACCTTGGATGTTTTCAAAAAACGATTAGATGTTGCTCTTAGCTCCCAGCATTTTGTTACCTAAACTCCTCTATTGTGGATTACGCCAAGCATGCTTTTCAACAGGATTTATGTATCAAATGGACCTAAGTGAGCGACCATATTTTACTTTTCTCACTCCTTACATCAACGATCACTGCACCCCAGTGTCTTTCTGAACGTTTACGCTCGATAATTTTTTTAATTTTACACTGATGTTAATTATCAAAGTATTCATCTCGGCAGACGTTCGGTAGATGACCCAGACATATTTTGATTTCATCATATTCACCTCAACCGTCCTACCGGACGTGTCAAGCACTTGCTTTTAACCCGTGATAAATCATTGTTCCTTGTTTATTATGCGTGCACAATGCTAGGTAACATTCGGTTGGGTAATAATAGACCATGCGATTCGGTAGTCTGACTTTCCAATAGTCACACAGGTAACAAATTCATGGGTACACGCATAAGAGCACAACCTAAGCGAAGTCTAATGGTGAGAGAGAGAGGAAAACACTGTCATTGCCTTTGCTCGAAGTGTCGAGGCTCACGGCCACTCGAACGGTTTACAGTGGTACCGGCTGTTGACACTATTCGGTCGCATTAGCATGACCACAATGTGGTCTGAATATTGTCGAGGCGCTTTACTCCTCATTTCTTGCTAACAACTTGCCGATATTTTGCTTAAAATGCAATGTGTCCTATTTGGTTTGCAGTAGATCCAATATGTTTTGCAAAACGTCCAATGTGGTTTACGAAATGTCCAATGGAATTTGCAAACGGTCCACTTGATAGTGAACATAGTATATACTGCCGCACTAAGGAAGTCCGTGCAATGTAGTTAACATAGATGAACATCCCCATACTTAAAGAAACTATTACCGGCACTGCTTAGTACCCACAGATTAATCACTCGTCTTGGTGAATACAGTTTATCCGAACTTATTAGAATAACCAAATATTCAGGTGCATATTACAAGCTTATCTCTGACTGCAAACTTTCATTTGTTTTGGCTTATCAATATAGTCACTTTGGTTGGTAGTTAGAAGTCATTAGTTATGAAAAACGATCGCAAGCTTTCCGCGAAATCTAAAGTAGATATTTACCCTTCTAATTTTACATCCGATTGGTACCTAGCTTGGCCCTTCCTTGGCTTGCACGGATCAGCGCATTCTATGCGCAGTTTGTCTAGGGCAGCCATACGCCTTTTGATATTTTCCCCATATAACTAGCCTCAGTGCGAAGGATCTCGTTCCTGCCTGTTATCAGAGCTCTCTACCGTGTTGGATGGAAATGCTTTCGAGGACAGTACAACAGATTGCTAATTTTAGTCGCCTTCGCTCATCACTGAACATGCTGTAATCCCATAGTTCTTATTGCTTTCAACCATAAACATAACGGCCTTAGCATTTAGAGACGTTTTAGAGTCTACAATCCAGTTATCACCGGGGTCATGTGCACATTGTCAACTTTTCATGAACATGGTGTCGAGCCTTCGGTTGCAATACTCCTTCACATTCCAAGACAAATAATATTCCGAGCTATTCTTGGAAGCAATATCTACCTCTGTTGAACGAACTGGTCCTCACGTTTAAACCAATCTTAGTCTCCGTTAATATTGTGCCCGGCCTATTTCTACCCTCTTCCTCCTCTAAAGAGATTATAAAAACATGAAGGAACTGCTTTTTGATCGTCTTACCTTAACCCACTGCAAGGATATTCAGATGGAATAGTATTGTTTCAAAAAGAACATTGGAACTCTCATATTCGTAGGGAATTGTTAGTGACCCCGGATTCAAACTACCACTACAGAAATCCTACAACAGTGGAAGAAATAACTCGATAACTTTGCCTCAAGCAATGTACCAGATCTTTGGAGGCAAATGGGTACTCTGAAAATTGATGAGGAATGCTTGCAGTTGTGTGTCTTGGTGGCCTCAGTTCAACCTTAAAGCCCACTACATTTGTCTTCGCAGGTATTTACGAGTAGGTGTAAATTGGTTGATGCAAATTGGATCTCACTACTGGGTAAGCCCATTTAACATGTGCTGTGCCTGTAGCTTATGCAGTCCCATTCATCACAGTCTTCTCTCAAGTCAGTTTTAACTAGGGGTCTATTGGCGTAAGATGAATAATGTACTGTCTAGCACCTAAATTTGTGCTTACCAGACTGCAGCAGAAAGTCTAGGTCTCCATGCAAAACTTCCGGCGCGGATAGGTAATTGCTAGCTTCCGGTTTTCGACCGAATTCGGCAGCTCCGGTGTTTTTATAGGAATGCTGATCCTTTGACGACGTTGCACTGTTTGTATTGATATCATCAGGCCACTTGAGATAACGCAGCAACAAGCAGCGAATGCGGTGTGCGTCATTGAAGAAGCCTTCGATCGCCAACTGACGTTGACTGGGGTCGTTAAAGCACAGGACATCCGGTATCACACGTCTGCGATTCACGAGAAGGGTTACAATGTATTGTTTATCAAGCCAAAATAGAATAACAAGTATGTTCATGACGAAATAATGCACAATCCAGTCACCGAATGGAACCTTTACATCAGCAGAAATTTACCATTCTCAGCTAATCGATTTATAGAAATGCTGTTCTTCCGGTACTTCTTACCCCTGTTGACACTTACCCGAGTGACTGGAACTGACAAACATCGTTTTCCGGATCAACCTCCTCATTTCTGTACCATTTTTCAATGCATTCAGGTTTCAATGTTTGGATTAGCTCTAGCGTCTGAACAGTGCTATCCTCGATAGCAACGGGCCTGCGTAATGGTACGTGCGTTAACTGATTGTCTGAAGTGGGGTCTTCTCCACCTCCATCACGATCACGGGGAGGCTGGAAGATGCAACATATTGGAAACTGAGTTCTTGGAAAAGAGTTCCTCTGTCCTCAGCACATGTTTATAAATTTATCTGGTATTATGTATATTAGCTAATAGTGGGTTGTAGTTAGAAATATTTTCTTAGCTGGGAGTGGATTTAAATGTCAAACAACTCTTAATTTGAACTCTCTTTGCAATGACACATGGTGAACAAACTAGACTACAGTTGGCAGACTAAAATACCCTTCCACAAAATTTGTCCCATATACACTTACCGATGAAATGATTATATCCTCTGTCCCAGAGGTCGGTGTTAATTCGGTTGAATGCAGTTCGTCGGTCAACTTTCGAACTTCTGCCTCGAGTTCGTTCATTTCCTTCTGCGCCGCTTGGATTACATAGTTCACTGTTGAACGACGAAGCGATGTTGGCAATCTTGGAACCGGTCCCACCGAACGCGTTGACAGTAGAAACTAGAAAAGAAGAAGACAGCGAACCTCAACAGTTCTGGCCACATAATACCGAACAAATACACCGTGTCACAGTGCCTGTCGCGCTGGAAAAGCACTTTACGCAACAAAAGCAAGTCGACGAAACATACAAGAAGAACAGCCTCCGTACGACTGAGGCATACGTATGCATCCTGAACTGCCTACAAAAGTTAGCAATACCGTTGCGACACCTTAAAACCAACAGCATTTGATACGGGCTGATGCCGAGGAACTCGTTGTATTGTTGTTGGACGCTACGGACCATTCAGAATAGTTGCGTGAACAGAGGATCATTTCTGTTGCATAACGGCTTCGTATCTTTATGTGTCTAATTCCTGTCTCGCTTTCAGTCTTTACTAACTGTTCCCCCTACAAACCGTTACCGAGCTAAAGGCATAGCATCTTCTACTACTTGCTTTCCTGTTACTAAGTGGGAACAGCCCTGTCAAACTCAACGGAGTTCACCGGCGCCAGTGCACTATCGGTCCCGAACAACAAGGTCGCTATGCAAAGGTCTAAACAGCACAATTCGGAGCGGAGCCCTCTCCTCTGGAAACTGCCGCCAAGGGCCCACAAATGTTTACAGATCTCAACGGATTTGTCCTCAGGGATAATGCGGCCAACTTATCCGCACAGTTTCCAATGAACTCGCCCCATTCGCACCATCGTATCATCCGAACTCTCCTCAAGTCAACAGTTTGGCTCCTGAGCTATGTTCATACCAATGATTCATCTACGGAGCACGCTACACAACTGTGATGTGCCCAACACCTTAACCTAATCGACCCAACCCCATTTCTGCGCGGAGATTGGACCACTGCATGGGAACTCATGTGTCAACAAATGTACGTCCTTAACTATATTTTATACATTTGCTATTGTTTTAGTGAACTATAAATATGAACGTGCGGAAAGCACGGCCGCTTTAGTTGATTTAGTAAAAGCATTCTTACTATTGATCAGTCTTCTTTCTTCGGGTCTCGATATACCTGTGTGGCGTTTACGCGTTCCGTCTGCCTTACCAGTTACGAGTTCATGTCTGCCGACTAAGTGCACTAACCGTTACGATAGGAATCGTCTAGGCTACTCTGTGCGCAAGAAAGAAAGAGTGGAAGAGTACGTCCGCTCCGATTAGGATTGTCGAAACACAGCTAGAGCGTTGAATAACATTTACTTTGAACACTATATTCATGGTCCGAAACTTGAAGTGTAAAAGTCTGTCCTCACAACAGCGTCAGCATTGCTGGTCATACCGCGTTACTCCAAATCGAGATCTCTCACTTACAACCGGTCTGATTAATTCCCAATGATATGTGGATATGGTGATTGGAAGATTCATCTATGTTCCTTTAAATCCACTCTAATGCTCAAATTCTTAGGATACAGAGGTCCGTAGGTGCGACATTTTGGCTGGCAACGAAGGTTACGCTGATCGTAAGATGCAATACTAGAATACTAGAAGAATCTGCATCGTCTCGTGACACATTTGGGAAACATGCTTACCGATTTACTGCTGGTGAATCCAGCACAAACTACATGGGTGTATGAGGAACATACACGCATAGCACAAACAATGGGCAGGATTTAGCGACAACTTTTATCTGAACTAAAATGAAGCTCTAACGCAAGTGTGTCTCTTATCCACAGAAACCTGATGTTCATATGTAACAGATGTCTCTGTGATGTCTCCTCACCTCATTGTGGATAAGCATTCTACTTGTAGCACCTGTTCGGGCACCTAATCGGAAGGTAACCTTACTAGTATGTATAGTTCAACTGGTGTCTTTCTGAGTGTAACTAGGCCGTTTATTGCCCATTGATTTGGATAGCAACTGGTACTGGTTTTTACCTAATCCACAGTATACCAATGCAGCGATGAGACTTCTGCAATTACACGAAGTAAACTGTATGACTAGTAAACACAGTGCCGTAGTCAGGGTACGAGCCGACATCACAGGAAGTTATGATTAGCCTAGAGTAGATTACGATTTGAACTGCTATGAGGAACAGGTGACTACAAAATGCCTCTAATTTCTGGAGCTGAAATGGGAGAATGCTACCCGATAGTACACTCGTTAATGGATCACTAGGGCAGCAACGGAGCTTGTCACTAAGCTTTCAATTATATTAATCTTGTTATCTAACATAAGGGAACACAACAGACCTGATTCTTCACTACAGTTGTCTAATGTGTTAATTGTCTCGTGGCAAGAAAAACCAGCAGATTGCGGGATATACAGCATACAGTTTCTTTCGCGTATTCTCAATCAGCCGCATACATTCATACTGTGGTAGGATTTAGTGAGTACACGTGACAGGGAATTGATAAGGGACACCAATTTAAAGCTATGGCGATCGCGCTCCTTGCTTCCGTGACCCCAACCTATGCCTTACCATGGTAAGACTAGGTTGGCCATGAGTTCAAGTGGTTTGCACAGGTTTGGCTTCAGCCGCCGGAGAGCCGAAGCTTCAAGAAACCTGAAGAGTCTTGGAGTGTTTTGTTTGCTAATAACCTTGAAAGAGTTACTAGGATTTTCGCACGCAGTGCAACGCAGTTGGTGTCGAGTGATAGCACTGTCAGGTACTTTATGACTGCTCAACGCTAGACTTGGTGAAAAGTGCCCCATACTCCCAGTCGGTAATTTTTCCGTCCGTCCAGTGTATATGTTACCGCACGTAGAGTTAAACTGGTGAACGCAAGAGGCGGGGAGTTGAGAGAGTTTTAGCTAAGTTGGATTTATGCAGCAATTTTCTGGGTTGGTATAGAAGCGCTAGATCAACGGCATCATCTCCTCTCTACGGATTGACAGCCGTTGGCAGAACCGCTTATCACTTGGTTCACTTTATAAGGTAAATATAATCAATGGTGCCATACCTGCAGAATCCAGCAGGGTGAATAGGGGTTTAAAGGCTACTGCTCAAGCCATCCTAGTCTTCTCTTCCCCACTTACGCATTACGTTTTTATCCTTCCGCACAAACTTACAGTTATCCCACCGTTTTAAAACTCCAACCCTTGGCCCTCCCCCTCGCTTTGATAGGTATTAATCTTCTATATCGTTTTACAGGCAACTTGATGCATAGCGCTAATAAGTTAGCTTATTAAATACTCAAAAGCAGCTGTTGTTCATTCAATCTCACACGCGCATCACGCAATTCTCTCCTTGCGTAGTTACACGCGCTCACACTCGGTAACACTAGCATTGGTCATGGGACATTGGCCAATGGGGTACCGTGGGGGTAATCGAAGGGCTAGATGAATGCATCTATGGAGGACAGATGCTCCCGCGTAGGTTGACAAATTGGTGTTAACGGAAGGCAAACAAGGACGAGAGTGTCAGTGCTAGAGGTCAGCAACAGCACGCCTGACTGAAGCTCATCAAATTTGGAAAGAGAAACAAAACACGAAGCTTTAAGTGAACAATTGTTTTCGATTAACTTCTCGTCAGGCTCATACAATAATCTATATTAGGGTTGGGTCTGTTGCAATCATCAGCCTTTGTGGCCTCTCAAAAATACATGAACCTGACACACGACTGGGACTCATATTAGGTATGAGGAATTCGCCGTATCACAGTATTGAGCAATGACTAACAAAAATGCGGAATCCCATCAGACAAATGATTACTCCTCATAGACTGGCAGATACATTTCAGCTTGTGAACGAAATTCAAGATATGAATGTCCAAGAGTACCGGATGTGTTTCTCAGACGTTGTTTCTTTGTTTACCATAGTACCTCTGATCGAACCAGTTAAATACACATGCTCGTACATTGACAAATAAGACATAAACATAGGTATACGAAACAAGCACTTGAAACAGATTTACCTACAACGTTCACTTTCAATTCAATAGCGAGTTTTATAGACAGGTTGATGGTGTTGCAATGGGATCTCCACTTGGACCATTGTTATCGGCTATTTATATGGGAATGCTAAAAAGCGGTCCATTAAAACAGGTCATATCGGGTCTGAAATTCTGTCGGCGTTATGTGGATGATATAGTTTGTATAAGTGATCGGACCAACAAACCTAGGATATAATCGACTGTTTCAACAATACAGCTGAGAGAAAAAAACAATCAAATTAATTTCTGGGACGCAAGTCTTATCAAAAGAACCGCCGGGTCAATCCAAATAAAAGTATACAGGACACAAAATTGGACGGAACAATACATGAACTTTCATAGCTTCGCCCCACTCAGCCAAAAAATAACGCTGGTGCGAACCCTAACCGATCATGCATACAAAGTCTTCAGCGAAGACACCATAAAAGCCAAACTCGTACGAATCAAGGATACGCTTCTCGAAAATGAACATCCGGGACAATTTATCCAGATCCATATGAGGCGATGCATACCAAAAGTATCAAAACAAACGGTTGTAAAGAAACAGCCTTACCTGACTCTGCTATTCAAAAGAAATAGTGCGGCTGAGGTAAGCACCCCTCGACTACAGCAAAGCTGCAAAAAAAGCTTTAATGCGACCCAATTGAATGTGGTTTTCAGCAGCAATGCCTCAATAGATCCGAGTCTCAAAGACCGAGTTCCGGTTCATCTCCAATCAGTGTTAATCTACCGCTTCAACTGCCCCTGTGGGGCCGGGTACATTGGACGGACGATCAGGCATTTAGGTAAGAGAATAAAGGAACAGCTTCCAGGTTGGATCTTCAATCGCGAGAGTAGGACAAACTACAGTGCGATTACGTACCATCTAATCAATACAGGCCACCAGGTAAACCAACAAACATCCTTACAGCCTCTCTACAGAATACCACCAAGGCATAACCGCCGTGTAAGATCAAGCCTACTTGCCACTGCTGAGGCAGTATGCATACCCCTGACAAACCCGGACTCCTGTGTCCAGAAGAAGATAACACAAACATTACAACTTCCGTGGCCGACCATCAGACAAGATGGAATTGATAGCACTCCGCAAGGCCACTTGACTTCTGTCCCCTGATCAGATGACTGCCATCATGGTC